GATTTTGTAGGGATTGGGGACGGCCGTCTTCGTTTGATAAGATTTAGAATGGGTAAATTGACTGAGAAAGCACGTTCGCGTTTGATCACTGATACGGAGGTATTCTCTTCTTTGACTTTGATATCTGGTGATTTGACTTTGATATTCTTCGGTTCTGACGGTTGTTTGATGGGGTGATTGGACTCATCATAGGTAACAAGACAAATGTGAATAATTGTAGTTGTTGAGGTTGATGAGTGCACTTTCTTAAATGAACTCAATAACTTTTCCAAATCCAACATCCAAACATCAGGAGTGAGCATAACTGCACCATCCTTTCCTGTAACTGAGGCAGAAATGAATACATCAACTGGAGAAACAACTGTAAGAATATTCTTCCAGGCTGTATCAAGTCTGGCAGTGATGATTTCTAGAAAATCCTCCATTGTGAAAAACACACAATCTGAGTAGATTTCATTTTGAATTTTTCGAATTGACTCCCAGTTATAGTGTGTTTGTAGTTTGGCATCATTGTATTCACACTTCCAAATATGAATAAGAATTTTGTAGGATTTTCGCAAGGAGGATAGTTGATTCAGCTCAGGTTTGATCGCAGGTTCTTTTATAGGTGATGTACGTTGAACTGGTGTACCAGCATTGGGGGTCATTTGTTGAACTTTTTGTGTTTTTTGAATGACCAGTTGACGTGCTCGTTGAGGAGGTCCAGGATCAAGAATTGTGGCAGAGAGTGATGGTGTCAGAGCTGGAGGACTGGGACTATCTTCAATGACAATGATTTCATCATTTATTGAAGAGATGATGGAGGATTTTGGTGTGGATGGATTGGCTTTGCCACAATAAGGACAGGCAGCTTCACTATTACAGTGTGCTTCATGAGAAAATCCAGGACGATTGGGGCAGAATGGTGTCCACATAGTGAATTAAATCAAGATGATAATAAACAACAAAGAGAAGAACAGGAAAATTTGAGTGTGTGTATATATATATCCGTTTTTGAGGGTAAGAGAGTGAGAGATTGTGTGTGTGTGTGTGGATTTCGGTAACCTGATTAGTATAATGATTAGTATAATAGCTAACTGCTTTGGGAGTGTTAGACATGATGAGTAATATTATAAAATATCTTCAAAGAGTTAGTTACAGTGTACACACTACAGAATATTTCTGTATCAATTAAGAAAATTGTTTATTGATATATATTTTAATACTGTCAATAACTTTAGATTGGAATATATAACTATATATGATTATAATTTTCAAGTTATAGAGTGTTTGAGTATATGAATACATATATTCTGTGTGTCCGGTGTACATACATTGTAGATATATATATATATATATATCTAGTTCAAAATTCATGTAGCACTACAATATAAAATTTATAGAATAATTGTTATAGTAACAAACTTAAAAAGTATATTCTTGAGAATATTAGTAGAATACTTAGTAGAATACTTAGTAGAATACTTAGTAGAATACTTAGTAGAATACTTATTCATATTCAATCTAATTACATCTGTGATACATCTGGCTTAACATCCTCACTGTTCTCATCAGAGATATCAGGCTTGATATCTTCACTATTCTCACTATTCTCATCATAGATTTTCATTTCCATCACATTATCAAAATTCATCTCATGCTCCTGCAATCGCTCTGTCAGCCAGTCCCAAGCACCAGTTGGCTTTTCAGATTCCTGTAGAATAGGAACTTGTTGAGATCTTATATGATCATGTACAAGTTTTCGCAGCTGAAGATATATTATCTTATGTATACGTTCACCCTGTTCATTGACAGCTGCAGCAGTGACTCTTCCAGAAGAAAATCCCAATTTTGAAATCTGATTCTGACACCAATTCTTTGTCTCCAGTGGTAGATACTCATTAATATCTGTCAAGTATTAGTATCTCTATAATATTAGATCAACAGAGATATTAGTAATGAAGATATTACATACCCCAGTTTTCAAAGTGCATGTGAAGTTCTGAAAGCACTTGTGAATCTGGTTTTAAGCCATGCTGTAATGCATTATCAGGATGATAATAGAGCTTCCAGGGCTGTCCATATACCCCATCAGGTCGTTTACGTTGAGCTCGAATTCGATGATTATTCCAGACTCTCACATAGTTTGTCATCTCTTGTCGAATAATTGGCATATATACAGCGAGAAAGGCAATACGATCAGATAATTTATTGGTGTGATATAGACCTGTATGACTGAGATTCAGAAAATAGCGCTGAGAGAAGATTAGCATAAAGATTAGTATAATAATTAGTAGAAAGAATATGGAATTTCATACTCTCCAGTAATTTGCCAACTGTTTTGCAAGTTGTCCCCACCAAGATTCAATTCGTTGATTTAGTGTACTTGTTCCAAATCGATAGCACTCATTCAAAGAAGTATTTGAATCAGTTGCTTGATGTAGTTTGAGTTGTGCAGCTGCAATCATTGAAGTTTCGGTTCCTCTATCTGAACGAATAACCTGAGGAAAAGTATCGGTTGCTTGTAGAACATCAAGAAATTGTCGAAGAACAGAAACAGCAGTACGGTTTGTGATTCCAATATATATCCACACTATATATCGAGAATATGCATCAATTGCTGCATAGATTTCGATTCCCCAATGTTGAAGCTTGCAATAACCATCAATAGACCAAAGATAATTTGGTCCGGGAACAATGTAGGATCCTCGGTGACGTTGGAGATCATTTAGCCGACGTGTAATTCCATCTGGATCGAGAAGCCGAACTGTTTTGAATAGACGATCTCTGATTTTATTAGTATTATACTAATCATTATATTAATCAAAACATACCGTGAAATGCTATGCCCCTGCTGCCTAAAATGGGTGTACAGATGTCCTCTTCCAAAACCCTGAATAAATCCACTGTCAAGCTCTTTCTGTACAGTAGATATAAGCTCTTTCTGCATCTCATCACTCTCATAGTCATCTCTTCGCTGATGAAGTTTCAATTGCTGCCGAATTTGACGAAGCTCACGTATAGAGAGTTGAGACTCAGGATGCTTTTGTTGAATAACTGATAGAATATCAGCATCCTGCAAGCCTCGTGAAAACAATTCTTGAATAAAATTGTGAATTGATTCATCAGCTTCCCATTTCTTGGTTTTTCTAACATTCCATTTTCGAAGACAACGAACAAGAGTTGATCGACTAACTTCAAGATTATGATCTCGTTTCAATTGAGAGATAATATCTTGTTGAGTTAGATTGTGTTGATGAAGATTAATAATAAGATCTTTGTGAGAAAGAAGATATGAATAACCAGATGGAGGCATTTTAAAAGAAAGTGAAAGAAAAAGTATTTATTATTCTAAAATAAAGAAATAAAGAAAGAAAGAAAGAAAGAAAGAATGAATGAAAAATTGAAAATATTATAACATCATAAAAAAAGTAAATAAGAAAATCAAAACAAACAGATAATGTACTAAACTAACTAAGTTAGCTTGCTTTAATATAAAAAAAATTTTCAACAAAAAACAGATTAGTAGAATGATTGCTATAATCATAAAAACAAAAAAAAAAAAAAAAATCAACTTTCAGACTTAAAAAGCATGCACTCATCCGGGCTCCATCTCATTTGCATAAATTCCTCTGGAGTCATTTCCTCTTTCAAGGCTCTATGAGCCTGTTTACGAGCATCAATATCCTTTTCTGAATCTTCAGTCTTTTGCTCACTCCACCATCTCTTTGCCAAATTTGAGTCAATTTGTTCTGCACAAAGCAGCATTTTCAAAACAGAAAGCTCCTGATTTGAAATTTTTTTAAAAAATCGATGATGACTGGCAGTATTGTTGAAAGAATGATGTCGGAATTTTTGAAAAAGAGAATTGCTGATATCTTTCCATGAGAGAATCCACTGCTTGTATAAAACAGCAGCAAGACTTCCTCCTTTTTTCATCAGTTTCACCCCTTCCTCATACGCAGCCCGGGAATCTTCCTCAGTTGGCATATTTTCTTTACCAAACCGTTTTTCATCTTCCAGCCGCCATTTCACTTCTTGCATGGTGTCCTCAGAATCTAACAAATGATTCCATGCGGCAAGCCTGTGATAAATCATTAGAATGATTAATATAATGATTAGTAGAATATAGAACTTACTTTTCACTTGGTTTTGAGATATCTTCCTGTCTCTGCTCCAGCATCGATGCTGTAATCCCGGTGCTAAGTCTATATTCTATTAATATTTATATTAACAAGATTTCAAGATTTGTTAACTACCTTTTATTCATGATCTCTGTTCTTTTATCCTCAATCATCTTCTTTTGATCCTCAGTATTTGCCTCTCTGAATGCATCGGTATTTTTCAGCTGTCGAATATGATAATTTACTGCTGCACGATCTGCATTCTTCGCCCGTTCAATAGTGGCCTCCTCCTCATTCATTTTTTCCCTTCGTTTCATTGCTCTTTTTGTGTGAGGGTTAATCGACATTTCTTCTTCAGCTTTTCGTTTCTGGCCAGCTGTGGCTCCAGGCTTTGGTCCGCGGCGTGTCATTTTGATAGGATGAGAAAAAAACTGATCTTGGAAGTGGGAAACAAAGAATCTGGCGCAGGAAATAGTTGATTGATACAATGATTGATAGAATAAAAAGGCAGGCAGGCAGCAGAGCAGAAGTAGTGAGACAGGAGAAAGAAGAATTGAAAGAATTGAAAATCAATGTTGATATTCTTTGTGATGTGTTGTTGTGTTCACTTGATTGCCTATTTGAGCGTGCTTGTGTTGTTGTGTTATTCATCAACTGCACATAACTGCACACATAACCGCACTCTCACTTCAAAGATCTTATCTTTTTGCTCTTTTTCTTTTCCAATCTTTTAATCTTTTCATCCATCTCATTCTACACGCCCCCCCCCCCCCCCCTGCAGAAATTTTTTAAATTATCTTCTTGTTTCAGCAATGTAAGTGAGCTACAGTTCATTTTTATACTAGTTATTATACTAATCAGTAAATAAGCAGCTAGAATCATCAAATCCACGCAAAAATGGCTCGTACCAAAATGACTGCAAGAAAATGTGTTCAACAGAGAGGGGCAAAAAAAAATATAGCCAGCAAGGCAAGAAAGGGGGGAAAGCATCCTCCAGGACAGCATGTGGCTCATGTGAAACCTCGACGTCGCTATCGTCGAAAAGCTGGCAGTAAGTAAAAGTATATTCATAGATTTTTTGAATTTGAATATCTAATTTAATTATTTTAGCCACTGCTCTCCGTGAAATCCGCCGTTATCAGCGTGATGTTGAGCTTCTTATTCACAAGCTCCCATTCCAGCGTCTTGTCCGTGAAATTGCAGCAGATATATATGGTGATCTTCGATTTCAAGCATCTGCAATTCTGGCTTTGCAGGAGGCTGCAGAGGCGGTTTTGATTGATGAATTCACAAGTAAGAAATGACTGGATTTTACAAGCTAATCTACTAATCATTATACTAATCAATGAGATGTTAGTGACAAATCTATGCGCCATCCATGCCAAACGTGTTACCATCCAGGAAAGGGATATGAAATTGGTGCAGAGGTTGCGACAAATCATGACAGGCAGTCGCATCCCAGGACGTGGAAATGGTTATTAGTAGTTTTCACTTTTTTCACTTTTTTTGATTTTTCATTTTGATTTTTTGATGATATCCAGGAAAATGATTGTTTTTTGATTGTTTTTTTGATTTGATTTTTTTCTTAGCTTAATCAGAATGAAATGAGATGTTTCTGCAACAGACAAATCCTCATATAAATCTCTATTGGTGAGTGTCTATAAGTGGAATTAAGTAATTACAGTGGAAAAACACAAAAAAACCCATTTGACCCAAATGTCACTATAGGCTGCCGTAGGTAGATCAACCTTATTCCATATACAAGCAGTTGCGCTGTAACATTGTTAAATGTTGCAATCTCTGATAGATCTTGTTTAAAAAATACTTGAAATCATTCAATCAGATAATGCAGCAGCTCTATGAGAGAAGATAGACATAGAGTATGTGATATTCTTAGAGAAATAGAAAATTAGCATTCTCAAAGAATTGACATATCTATATATCAAGAACAGTGATTATCTGTCATACATATGCTGATTTTGCTACCTCTTTACTCATATTTTAGAACTCATACAAAACTCTCATGAAGACTTTCTTCATAACTTATTTCTTCATTATTAACATCTGTGATCATCAAAGAATTTATGTCAAATCACATTTTTACATTGTCAGGCCTATTCACCTTCTTACATAATCTGCACTGTATATAACTTCCGCGTAGCTAGCAATCGCCTCATAATCAATCAAGCAATCTATCCTTGACAGGTTATGAGACCCATTTTGCGCAAATAACTGCCAATTCAGGGAATTCTTGCCAAATATAGTGTATATTAATCACTGCTCACTTCATTCAATATAATATTATCTTATTTTATGTCAATTGATTGATTTGGTGCACTCTTATATTATTATTATTTTTTTTGTATTCAATTCATTCACTTAGCAGATGAAAGAAAAATCTGCAACTCACTAATTTTTCAGTGACTGATCACACAAGAACATGCCAATCTGCTCAATCAAGCTTATAGGCAAGAATCTCACTGAATAAGATTACTTCATTAGAAAGAAGATTAATACAACATGGCAGAATGTATAATGACTCACTCATAGTTGTGATTGAGTCAATCCAGTCAATCTGACCAATCTGAAAATGACCAGGGGGCCTTGAGCTCACTGACCCCCCCAGGAGCATTCAGAAGTTCCAATATTGGACCCTCCAGAACATCTAATCAGCAAGTCAGGCTAATTACAGCCCCTACCATGGTGAGGCCAGTCTGCCTACATCATGTCAAATATGCTGACCTGACTCCTTCAGAAGATGGAGTGGAGATGTCTGCAGTGACCTCTAACCTGTCATCAACAACTGACTCCAAAGAATTGCAACTGAGGAGATTGGATCTTGAATGTCAAAAGATTGATTTAGAACTTCAAAAAGAGAGATACAAAAAATTGCAGCTTCAACTTCAATTGAAGAGGCTCCATGCTCAGAATGACAGAGCTGCAATGCCTGCAAATCTGCTGGCAGATCAAATGTCAGCATGAGATCTGAACTTGAGGTCTCAAATGCAATATAACTTCTATGACCCAGATAGTCATGTTGACAAGGCAATCAATCAGTTCAAACAGAATACTAAATATGCCACTAAGCTGAATGCTCTGGTCAGATCTTCAAATTACCTCTCCTGGCATGTGAATATGAAGGCCAGGCTAATTGATGTTCAATGCTGGGTTATATTGGAGGACAAGCAAGTCAAAAGCCCTGATAGAGACCCTGAATGAGCTCCTTTTTAGGAGGCCAAAAATCACTGGCTTTACACATTCATTTTGAACACGTTGGCAGCCAGCATTAGGCCCCATTTTAATAAGTATGATGAGGGCAGGATTGCTTATTCTCTTTGATATGTGGTTGAGAAGGAGTTCTTCATTCTGAGAACACAGCTCTGCAGAGAAGCAGTCTTGGCATTTACATCAATGAGTGATGTCCAAGTCATCAACATACACACATTTTTTGATAAGTTCAATGATGTTACTATGAAATTGGAAATACTCAATATCTTACTGTCAAATGATGTGGTATTCCACATGTTCTATTCTGCACTTCTCAATATATAGTGAAACTATGTACAAAAGAAAATTGAGGAGGTACAAGAGTCTAAATCAAAGTCTGTTATGTTGGATGTTCATTCAACCATGGAGGAAATACACTCTTGATTGAATCTCCTCAAAGAGGTCAAGAAGCCTGCCCAGGCGACTAATTCTTCAGCCAATATGACTCAGGCTGAAAACACAGCTGCAGGTTCCAATAATAGCAGCAATGTCCAAAATAATTCAGCCCATGAGGGCTGACTCAGGAGATGCAGAGGCTATCAAATGAGCAGACATTTAAAGTCTGATCTTTCAATCTGCCTGAAATGTGAGCATCATCATGATGGGCTCTGCTGGGCAGCCAATCCAGATAGCACTTCTGAAGAATAAAGGACCACCAACACAGTAAGAATAGAAAAATATAACAATAAGAAGAGTAGTGAGGGCAAGAAGACCCTATCAACTGCAAATGACAGCTCTGAGACATTTCAAATAGTGAATCTAGTGCAGGTCATTGAGGTGCCTGTGTACTCTGCTGAACCAATCACCAACCCACTCATCATATGAGACAGTGAGGCTGGATGTCATATTGCATGTGATTGATTATGATTTTCTCAAATAACAGAGGTTAGCAGCTCTATGATTCAAGTGGTCAATAAGACTATTTTGAAGGTTCAAGGAATCATGGTCACCTCCATCCCAGTTGGAGAAAGATTAATTGAATTTGACCATGTCTATTTGGTGCCAGGCTTATCTACCAATCTCATATCTGCTGGCCTATTGGAGCACCAGGGCTATATTCACTGTGATCTGCAGGTGGACACTGGAAATTACTTTGAGATAATAGCATCTACAAAAAACAATATCTCCTACACAATTTTGAATTTCAATAATATATATATTCTATTTGACACCTTCCCTATGTTCAGGGGTATTATGAATGATCTGGAGCTTGGACCACTGGCATACTTGGCAGTCTCAAAGCCCAGGGTGATTTCAACAGATTATGATCTGAACACTACATCACTGGGTCTTTTCAACTGCAATAACATGGAGCAGCTGATTAACCTGAAGGATTCAGATACTGATACCTTCATTTTGTCCTCACCAACCTGCTTACCCATCATTATGCTGAAGCAGCTACTGATTGATGAGTGGCACCAGCAGTTGAGCCATATTGATGAGGAGAATCTAATTAAAATGTTGCAGGAGCTCTGTTTTGAAATTGTCATCATCAGCTCAAAGAAGCTCTCATTCTGCACCATATGTGTTAAAGCCAAGCATAAATGTGCAAGTTATAAAAACACCTCTCTACACTGTGCTATCTGCAAAGGTCTTAAAATCTGGATGGACCTATTTGAGGGTGGAGAAATGCTTGGTAATGAAGAAGATACACCATCCTATGCAGGTAAGAAGCTTGTGATGATGATCACTGATGATGTCATGTGAATGTAGTGGACCTTTCTATTGAAGTGCTGCAATGAGGCTCTAAAATATATATGAACCTTCAATCAATTTATGAAGAATCTGCTCAATCATGGTGTCACAATTATTCACTCTGACTGTGGTGAGTTGAATTCAAACATAGCAGTCATCTATATAATGAGTGAGGGTATTAAATGAGAATCAACCCTGTCTCATACTCCACAGCAAGATGGTGTGTCTGAACATTCTATTGACCTGATTATTGAAAAAGTCTAAACATTATTAATAGATTCCTCTGCTCCTCCTCAGATGTGAGATGAGGCAGTAATTGCAGCAACTGAAATGCTTAATCTTATGTCAACATCAGCCAAGCTCTATAACAGTGTAGAGGATCTAGATCTGAAGTCAATTACCTCATATGAAGCTTGGCTCAGGGTCCTGCCCTCTGCACATGGAATTCACTGATGAGGGTACAAGGCTTATTTAAAAATAGTGCTCAAGCTGAATATAAAGATGACCTTGTAATTGCAGAAGCTTATATTTACAGGCTATGATGATTTTACTAATTATAGATTGGTCAATCCTTCTAACAGTCACCTTTACACATCAAAAGACATGATATTTCAAGAAGATCTTCATTTGGCAGATTCTTTGGCCTCATCTGAGCAAGGTATCAAGAATCTGTCTTTCACTGCCTGCATGGCTGCAGTTGCAATCCCCTCCACCTAACATGATTTATCAACAGATGATTTCATGATGGATGAGAAGTCTCTACCTGCCCCCTCAGTATTTCTACACTCTACAAATAATTAATAGATAGACTATGAGATTACTGTGTGAATTTCAACATTTTTGATGCAGAACACTACTGCTCTCCCAGGGTTCACTTTAAAGATGGAGGATTCTCCAATGCCCACTGAGAATATTACTTCAGTGAGGGAGGCCTCAGTGAGGAATTTCACTGACAATTCAACTAATGTCTCTGCAGACCCTAAGATCACTGACTTGTCAGTTTCAAAGAATCTCACCTGAGCTCAGGCATCTGCAGATTGGAAATATTACTTTCATGCCTGCATTAAGAAGATTAATCACCTCAAGCAGATTGGTGCATGGTGACTAGTTGAAAGGACCCCAGATATGATGATTCTACATGGCCAATGAGTGTTTGACAAAAAGATTAATAATGCAGGTAGAATTGATTGATATAAGGCCTGCTGAGTAATCTGCAGCAATTATCAAGAAAAGAGTGTCAACTATTCAAAGACATTCACACCAGTTGTATCAGCTTTCATCTCCTGAGCACTTATGACAATCTTGGTATTCTGAGGATGTCATGTTCTGCAGATCAACATGATTACAGCATTCTTAAATGCCTGGCTTCCTGTCAATGAATGTATATATATGCATCAACCCACCAGGTTCCGCGAGGGATGTGGTGATCTGGTATGTGAATTGATGCAGAGACTATATGACCTGAAGCAAGCAGCACTATTATGATATGAGGAGCTGTGAAAAATGCTATTGAAAACAGGCTTCTGCATCAGTTCTCATGACACCAGTTTTTTCATAAATGACATCTACAAGGTCTATATAATCATCTATGTAGATGATGTTCACCTATATAGCCTGAATATATTGAATATTGAGTGGACAAAAGCCCAGATCACTACTAATTATGAGATTAAGGATGTGGGTGATTCAAACTGGTATTTGAGTATGAAGATTGATCAGAATACTGAATCATTATCACTGTCCCAGCCACTGTTCATAAAGAACCTGCTTGAGAAATTCTCAATGAATGACTGCCACCCAACATCTTCCTCTATGAAGGAGAATGTTGATTTCATGAGTGATAATGAAGAATCAATTGCTTATACAGCAGAATTTACATTATGTTTCTATCAATCAGAGGTTGACTCTCTGCAATATCTCACTGTCAACACACACCCTGATATAAGCTTTACTGCTGGCTTTCTAGGGAGATTCAGCTCCTGCTCTATCTTGAAGAGTTAAGCAGCATTCAAGCAAATTTTAGATATCTACAAGGCACACCTGACATAGGTATGTCCTACTGAAAAGACACAGATATAGAATCTATGGCATTCACTGATGCTGATTGGGCAGACTGTGATCCAGGTTCCTGCTCCATCACTGAATATGTTATTTATATGACAGAGGGTCCTGTTGCTTAGTGAAGCAGCAAGCAGACAGGTATTTTAAAATCATCTACCAAGGCTGAATATATTGCATCCTCAGAGGCTACCTATGAGCTTGTCTGCCTTCAGGAATTGCTGGAGGATGCTGGCTTCATGCTGTCCCAGCTCAATAATCTTGATGATAATAATAGCCCAATTGAATCACTGGCCAATAAGCTGGCATATACAATTCAGGCAGATAATAAATCAGTGATTGAACTGATCAAAAGTGAGGCTATTCCACGCTGTTCTAAGCATATAGAGGTCTGCTTTCATACTCTTTAGGATCTTATCTGCAAGAACAAGATCTCAATTAATTACATTCTGTCCACTGAGAACACAGCAGACAGGCTGACCAAGTCACTTGAGATGACTAGATACACCCTATGACAGCAGATATTAGAAGATGTGATAAGCAGGCAGAAATGATTATATGAAGGAAATGACTAATTTTTCAACAATATGGGTTTTCCAGTCAAATTATGCACTGATACCTAGCTACAGGCTATTTTTTGTATGTAATCTCACATACAGTTACATCAGTGAGTGGGGGTGTCAGGCCTATCCGCCTTCTTATGTAATCCGCACTGTATATAACTTTCGCGTAGCTAGTGATCGCCTCATAATCAATCAAGCAATCTATCCTTGACATATATATTTTATAGGACAAGTTAGAGTTCTATTATCAACTTGAATATTGATAATCTGATGAAGCAACTTGCTTATTGAACAAATAAGACATAAGATTTAAAGCAAACTAGCGCTTTAAGAACTAATACAATCACTAAAGATAATAACAATACAATCTTTACCACATTCACTAGATGTAATTTTTGTAATATTTCAAGATATTCAAAGACTTATTGCTTTCAGTTAAACTTTGATAAAATATCAGAATAATAAAAGAAACTTCAAAAGAAAAAAGATATCAATAACTCTGAAAATACTAAAAAAATAAAAAAAATAAAAATAATAATAAATCTTCTAACAGTAAAATGCCAGATTTTCTTATCTTATAATTAAATATTGATGTAGTAATTACTTTATATTAGCATCATTCAATATTATCTCTAAATTCTAATATTTTGACACCTGTGCAAGCTTTCATATAACAGGTGAAAAGCACTCAATGTTGTGTGCAAAGTCATTTAAAAGAGATTTAATAATCAGTACTATAGATGAAAATTAAGAACAGATTAAAGAGACAGATATTATTCTTCTAAAATCAAAAGAAAAAAATATCTTAATTAATAATATTCATTGAATTCTCAATCTTATTGTCTATCTCTTGCTCTTTACAGTGCTAAAGAATTAAGATTTTTAATATCAGCTTTCAAATATCATTCCTTTCTACTTTATGATAAAGGCTTTAAATAGTGTCAGTTTCATTACTATTCATATACCTATAAATTCAATATACAAAATTACTAGTAGAATGAAATCTCAAGATGATATTCATCATTTGTCTTGAGCTATTAATTTTATAACTAAATTTTATGAGTATAAGAATATTATATTGATAAAAACAGAAGAATCTGATAATTATATTTTTTTGATTAAAACTTTTATGAAATAATATATCAATTTAAAATATATTTACATTGAGATGATTATTACACTAACAAAAGACTCTTCATCTGATATTCATATTAAAAAGTCTAAAACAGACTTCTTTTATAACAGTTATATAAAAGTAGACATGGCATGCAAATTCTCTCAAATCTCTATATCATGAGCATTATGAGCAATATAACATATTCATATTAACCTTACTGATAACAGTTGTATACTAAATAATATGTTTGATTACTCTATTAAATCACAATGAGGAATTAAATATTATATATTTATCACTAATAATATTATTTATTATTGATAAATATATTTTTTACATATCAAGAACTAAGTTGTAGATTATTACGCTCACTGAGTTTAATTAATGAAAAATCTTAATTTTACATTATCAGCACAAGTTAAGACAGATATTGACAATATTTTTTGATCAGTAAAAATAATCAAAATGATGATTAAAGATGATATAATTAAAAATTAACTTTATTTCAATCTTCTCATTAAGATGATATTTCTAAGAGAGAAATTTATATAATAATAACATGTATTAGAGCAGTACTTATAGATATGAATTTATCAAAAAAGTTTTGAGTAGATGTTTCTAAAATACTGATTACAATTATCAATAATATACTAATATTTATCACTTTTTATAATGAGAAGTGTTGATTTATCAGTAATAATGATGAAGTATTTACATAATACTATTATATAATTTTAATCTCAGTGCTAATCAATATCTTACCTCAACTTCATCATTTTAAAGAGTTAGGTATTAATGTTTATACTTATTTTTATAAATCTCAAAAATCTACTAATAAATTATCTGTTAAAATAAAGATTATCAAATTTATTAAATTCTATATTAACTTAATTTATCATCTGTAAAGTTCTACTAATAACAAAATAATTATTATCAGTAATATTATTTTCTTTGCAAAAGTATCTATAATATTAAAAGAAAATATCATCTATACAACAACTAAAATCACAAGTTCAGCAATATGTGAGGACACTAATGTGGATGAACTAAGTATCAAAAAGAAGTATAAGAAGCTCTATAACTAAGATCATAAAAAGGTAGATGTATAGGTGCTGCAAGTACTATGGAGAGAAGAGAATAGCAATAGATAAAATATATATATAGAATTGAATAGTAGCTAATTACTGAATCTCTTAAAGAAACTTTGAGAATTTAAGATATTTATATATATAAATAAGTAGTAATAGATTTTATTTCTAATCTTTTATAAAATGAAGTATTAGTAATACAGTAATATAAATCTTCATGAAGTGTTAATTCTATCCTTCAGAAAGTGCTGATGCTAAAGAACTGATTTTTAAGAAGTGTTAATCTATGCTAATTCTGAATATTGAATTTTGAGATGATGCTGATTCTTTAAAAGATGCTGATTCTAAAGTGCTTTGATAAGTAGTATAATAAGTAATATGAGGATAAAAAGCTAGTATAGAGAGTCTTGACATCACAGTTGCCCTTTTCTTTATAAGTGCAGATCTCAGTAGCTTTAGAAGATAGTTAATTTTGAATATAGAGGTAAGATGTAAGCATAAAGTGTTTGTTGATATAAAGAATAACATTTATAATACTTATTCAGTGATGTTGAGAGATTGATTGTGTGAGATGATTGTCATGAAAGCATTTATTGCTATAAGAATGAAGAGAGAAGGTATTTTTTGAATTTTTCTTCTTTTACAATCTCACAATTTGAATCATTATAAATTCCTTACAGTTGTTGCTATATCTGATTTTGAAGTTTTTCTCATTTCTTTCTTATCTATATCAATATGACAGAATCAATTTCTGCACTCTTTGAATAAGCTCTTTTGTTCTTTAGTGCATTTGATGCCATCACATGTGTGATGACAGTTTGACAAATCTACTAAGTTGTTATGAACCAACAGGAGACTCCCAGGGATCATTGGATAAGAATTGCAAAGGATAAAGGAACTAGGGTTTCAAACAGAATAACCCTGAGTTTCAGGACTAACCTAAAGAGATGATCACGTGATTGATAGATTGATAGATTGGTATGACTATCTATCAGACATTATCAAGTCTACCAGGTGGTAGATTGATAGGCTGGTATGACTATATATCATAAGCTATCAGATCTATCAAGAGGTTTCCATCATGTATATAAACATGCTCATTACCTCTAGGATCAAGAGGCCTATCTTCTTGATCACAATCAATTTTTTATTCTTCATTCATCTACTGATCTCTACTTCATCCTACTCACATTGTGTCTGTGTTTATCTGATACATCCTCACTCCTATACTTGTTATAGCTTTGACCACCTAACTCTACACCCTCTCAGGTGCCTGTCTCATCCAAGTCCTACACACATCTGACCTCTTAGCTATAGCTATTGTTGGTTATAAGGATTCTTTAATTGATGTCCTTACTACTTGTGATAGTGGCACTATCCCTTGTCCTAGTTATTAAGCTTACAGCACTCCTGTTCAGCTTAACCTTACCCTTCAGCTACAGGTGAAGCTTGCTAGTGATAGAGGCGCGGTAGCATAAGTCATAGCTCATAATTGTTTGATCATATGACTGATTTTATTTTAGAGATATTTTCTGTGAGTGATGTTTGCTCAAGCTAAGTAGTTTATCTGTGATATATAATTATTCTCACTATGATAAATGCTATGATTCTTGCTGTCTTGCACAGAAGTCATGTATCTGAGTGAGTATAGTGTATATTTAACTTTTTTACTCATTGTGATGACTGATAATTGTTTGCTTAGCTTGCTTTCTCTTCTGAGTTGAGTTGACTGCTTTTCAGAGCTTTCTGTTCTTTGAAGAGTGAGTAAGATCAGTGAAAATCTCATGTTATCAAGTCAAGTTACTGTGTCTGATAGCAGTGTTAACAACTTTCTCTTGTGCTCTTTATTCAGCAGAAGCTTGTACTGCTGTCTTGATTGATGTTGTTTATTGTGCTCAGTGCCAAATTAAGACTGCAGGTGCACTGATAGTGTCCTCTGAGAATGAGAAATGAGAGAATACAGAGAAAGAAGTTGTGTATGAGATGAAGAACTATGAGTTGACTGAAGAGAAGAGTATTGAGTTGGAGAAGAGAAGAATTACTGTTTCTGAGCAGCATATAATGACTGTGATGATTGTGAATAGAAATTAAGTCAGAGAGAACTAGAGATATGCATTTGAGTCTTTGACTTGTTCAGATAATAATGAAATAGATTTTTTTTGAAGATTTGATAATTTTTGATGCCTTGTTTGCCTCATTAAAACCATATAAAAAAAAAACTTATTTGGGAAAAAGTAGTAAAAAGAGTGCATATATGAAGAAGAATTAGTGCTTAGCACACTTTTCAGAGTAAGTTTAACACACTTGTTACTATGATTTCTGTTGTTTAAAAATATCAAATACCTCAGTCTTTTGAATATTTTCAATAGATTCTCATATATCATTTAAAGATTCATAGCTCTTTCAGTGTATATGATATCATTTTTTATTTTGATATTTCTCTTTAATATTTTCTCAACTTGAAATTCTTTCTCATCATTCACTAGCTTTAGTGCTGAAGGTGAAGTAATATCATCTCTTATTTTATAAAATTTAAGTAGTAAGATATGAAAGATAGAGTGAATATTATATATTGAGTATAAAAAAGAGAGTTTATATATCTATGTATTTCAAGATTTAATAATTTAAAAAGAGTCAATAAATTTATGATTCAATTTTTTAGTGAAATAGAGTATGTAGAAACTCTTTGCATTGAGAAGCACTTAGTTCTTTACATGAAAGCACTTTGTACTATATTTAAAGTTATAGTATATATTTTACATAGTCTTGATCTTTTTTAGCTATCTTTCAATTTTTTCTCATATTGCTTGTATTTCTTTGACCTGGACAATTGTTTCAATTGAGCTTGAATAGAGTGAATTATTGATATCAATTTAGAGAACATATCTATAGTTGTGAAGTACATGAGCTGAAACTTTATTGATTGAGCTATATCATAAATTATTATAGATGAATTGCCTTAAAAACAGTCATCTATCTCAGTCATTTTGATAAAAATTTATGAAGTATTGAAGATAATACTTCAATATCTGATTCTGATATTCAGTTTAATTATTTGTCTATAAATAAAAGACTATAAATAGTCTTTATTTTATCTCAAATAAACAACAGAGAGTTAATCAATACTGACTTGTGAAAAGAGCTTCTTTGTCTGAAATATAATTTTCAGAGATATCAAAGATACTATAAACATGAGTATAAATAATGTTTGCAAGACCTTCTGCAGTAATATCTTTTGTATATAAAATGAATAAAATATATTCGATTAATATATTAGCTAAGACAAGAATTATATCATAGATATTATCTAGTCAGATAATGATTAAGAGACTAGTAATAAAGTTCATAGTGATAATTTATCATAAATTGATTGATGTTGAAATTAAGTCAAGTTCATCATACTGTTTATAATAGTACACTTTCACTCTCTGATAAATATTATAAGTATGAATATATTTAGTAATATCTTAGATAAGATCATGACAATAGCACTTACTTTGAACACATTTAATGAATTATTTTATATCAAAATAATTCCTTATGAGTTATTCTAATTGATGCAGATTCTTTCTTTGATTAACACTTATTGCAGTAAATATAAACTCTATTATTTATCTGAAGTAGACTGTCTTTTGAGATAATTTAGAATATATTACTACTCAAGATTATCTCTTTATCTATTATTTTCTGCTTCTTTGCTATGGTAAAAAAGTCTATATTCTGTGCTTTAACAAGATTCTCTCAATGAGAGACTCTAGCATATCTATATATACTGATTCAAAGACTATAGCAGTGTTAACCAGCAGTCTGAGAATATTTCAATTCTTAAAATGTTTCTTTGAAACTAGATTTTTCTCTCTCAGAGATTTTCTGATCACCATATTGAGTAATTTTAATGAGTATGATATGAGCTTGTGAGTGAGCATCTGATACAGTGATAAGAGAGAATCTGCACTCAGAGTGAGGTTTGAAAGAGGTTCAGAGCTCAGAGTATTAAAATTAAGAGATTTCATATAGAGTGTGTGCTATTGATTATAGACTTATGTGCAGTTAACAAGAATTATAAATTTTTTGTAAGAGTTAAATTTTTAATTCTATTTAACATTGTGACAGAGCTTTTGTTGCAGAGTAGAAAGCATGATTTCATCATGAAAAAAATTAATATAATCTGCACAGTGACTGAGTTCATCAGCTGGGTTTTATTTATCTGAGCAGTGATATAAAATGAATGCATATGCTAATAATGCTTCTATTCATCTAGACTGATATTGATTCAGTATTTTAGTTATTATGAAATACTGAAGATTGATATAGTCAGAATAGATACTGATTGAATATTAACTTTCTTTCATATAATAATGTCAATTCTTGAAAGATGCAATAATTGCAAGAAGTTCCTTGTCATGAGTATTATATCATATTTTTGCATCTAGAAGTTTGCAAGATTAAAATACAATTGAGTGCCATTGATTATTATCTTATTTTTAAGAGATAATGACAATCACTGCTACTGTTGAGGTATCAGATTCAATCTGAGTTTCTCAGCTTAAGTCAAAATGAATGAGTAGAGAAGCTCATGTGAAGTGTTTTTTTAGATTATCAAAGATGCATTGAATATCTTTTGTTTATATGAACTATGACTTTCATTTCTCTTTTCTTGAAATCTTTATGAGATCAAAGAGAGGCTTTGTAATTTTAAAGTAGTTTTCAATAAAGCAGTAATAGAAGTTTGTAAATTTCAAAAAAATCTGAATTTTTTTAACACTAGTTGAGACTGATCATTCTGTAATGATTGTCACTCAATTTGATTTCATTTTAACACTCTGAGGTCCAACAATAAACTTCAAAAAGAAGGTTTTGTTTTTGACAAACTTGCATTTAGTGTATTTTGCAAACAGATTTATGCAGTCTAGACATTCAAGGATTTTTTGTATATACGTTTTATGCTCATTTATTGAGTTTGAATAGATAAGAATATTATCTAGATAAATCACACAGCATATGTCAAGAAGATCTGCTAAAGTGTAGTTTATATAGACTTAAAAGATGACAGAGGTATTTATAAGCTCAAAAGATATAATATTATACTCAAAGTGATCATATTATGTATGAAATACTATTTTTCATCTATCACTGTGCTGAATATGTATTCTATAATAAGCATCTCTAAGATCAATCTTAGAGAAAATTTATGCTTCAGAGAATCTATCTAGTATCTCACTCATAAGAGATAATGAATATCTGTTTTTGATTGTGAGATGATTCAGATCTCTGTAGTCTATACAGAGTCATAGATCTTTATTCTTCTTTAAAATAAAAAGAATAAGAATATCTGCAGAGCTCTAAGAAGAAGATATTCAATCTATTTTTAGTACACTATTCAAGTAGTTCTGAAGAGTTTTCAGCTATGTTTCATAGAGATTGTAGATAGGTATGAATAAGAGTTTAACTTTTTCTCAAAATTAATTGAGTGCTCTGCATCAGATACAGATATACTAGACACACTCTTCTTAGAGAAAAATATATATATGATCAGATATAGTTGAGCAGATCATTGATGAAAGCTGTATTTGCAAGTAAGCTGACTTCTGATAGTGTTGAGATTTCAGAAAAAGATTTATAGGTCTGTAAAATTGAAGCAGATACTATTGTAAGTACATAGTCAAAAGTGTTAGTGAGTAATTCATTAGTAGTATTTATTACACTCAGAGTTATCTTTTGATTGTTTGATGTTTAATAAAAATAGAATTCTTTATTCTTTCAATCAATGAGAGAATTAAGTTGTTTGAGTCAGAGAAATATTAGTATCATATCATAGTCTGAAAGTTTAATAATACAAAAGAAGTGAGATTCTTTGATTGTAATTTTTTACTCTTTGAGACTTTTATCTCTAGATTGATGATTTCAAATAAGCATGTTTGATGATCATCAAATCTTTTTATTTTACATAATATACATTCTGTTAATTGTAATTTGTATAATTTGACTCAGAATTCACTGATAAAACTTGTCTAAGCTTTAGAATCTATAAGAGTGAGAATTGATATATCTTCTGTGAGAGTTAGAATTTGAACAAAAAGAAGAAAGAATAGACTTAGTAATTGCTGACTTTTAAATGTGTTGAGAGTTGTCATTGCAGCATAAATAACACTTCTTATTTATTTTTTATCTCTTTTGAATTTGATTTGAAAGTGTAGAGGATTAAGCTCTAAGAACTAGAGGCTAGTCCTCCTATATAATAAGGACGAATTGCTTGGGAAAGGGAAGAAAAGAATGAGATGAGAACACAAGCTTAAGCAAGCTCGCGTAGCATGATCACGTGCGCACGTGCAAATGATGACTAGTGCGCATGTGCAAACAATGACTAGGCTGGCTGAGTCAGCCAGCCAGAGTGAATCTAGGAGTTCAGCCTCTTATAATACCCCTCTTCTCCCTCTTTGTTGCAGGTCTTTACAACTATTTAAAGCCCTCTTTTCATCTAATTTTGCCTGCTGAGAGGTCTTTCAAGTGTTCAAAGTCTTCACTTCTTGTAGAAGACTTGCATCATTCCATATAGGCTCAGCTCAATCTACTCATTTAACAAGGTATTGCTTTTCCTCTGATAGATTCATTCACTTCAAATTTCCTCAATCTCAAACTCAGGTTCTTTTAGAATCTCTATAGTGAGTGACTGTCAGTCAGTTTATCTCTGACTAGACAGGGGATTCATCACTGCAGTATGTAGAAGCTTTACATTAAAGACATTGTGAATGTCAGATAAGACATTCAGTTAGTAAGCATGAGATTCTATCTTTTTTAACACAGTATATTGATTGTATTTTACATTCAGCTTCTTACACAGATGATTAGTTCTCATGTTCTCTAAGCTCAATCAGATCTTATCTTCAGATTGAAAGCTTGAAGCTAAGTCTCTTCATCTATTCATATAGTTCTTTTGAGATTGCTGAGCATCTGTCATTTTTACTTGAGCTTACTTCAATACTTCACAGGCCTTCTTCATATAATCATCTGCAAACTCAATGAAATTATATGATGTTTTGACAGAGAGTGCATTAGCTATATCAATGAAGAAGATATGAAAAAGATGTATTAAAAAGAATGAGCTCACATCTGTTGAGGCAGCATCTCTATTATTGATGATCAGCTTTGTCAGAGACAGTCATTCACACCAGTCATCCTGTTGAAAGTTAATGTACTTGCATAGATAGATTTTCAGAGTCTGATTCATTCACTCTGTAGCTCTGTTAGTCTCTAAGTGATAGACTGTGAAGAGTCATCTCTTAATGTCTAATTTCTTACATACTTAAGTTCAAAACATGCTTGTGAAAGCTGATTCTTAATCTGATACTTCTGCTTTAGAAATGCCATGTTGAGAAATGATATTGTGAAAAAACACTCTAGTCATCATCTTCACATCAATTTTCTTAACTACTTTTAATATAATTCTCTTAGTCAGTCAGTCTGTTATAATCATGATGTTTGTGTATTCTTTAGAGCTTGATAAGTTTATATTAAAGTTCATGAAAAGCTTCTGCCACATATGTTCAGAAATAAGAAGAGGCTTAAGCAGTCTCTGATGTCAATCTCTTTATATGATGTTTAATCTGCAAAGATGACAGTTTCTGATTATTCTTCTCACATCAGCAGCATAGTCTGACTAGTAAAACTCATATGTTAGAACTTCTGCTGTTTGCTCTCACCCAGAATAGCCAGTAAAAGATGAGTTATGAGTCTTGTACACTAATCTGATTTAAAGAGGTTTGAAGTCTGGCACTCAGTTATAATCTTGAAAGAGAAGCTTTTCATTCTCATTTAAAGAGCACTCAGAGACAGAGACATTAATGCTGAGTTCAGAAGAAAATCTGAAACTTTTCTCATGAAGAGTCTGCTCCAGATGCTGCAGAATCTTATCATTTTTGTGAGTCTTATTTCACTGAGCTTGAAGAGACATCTCAGGTTTCATACTGGCAGCAGCTACTATTGGTTTTATTTCAGATGCCAGTACATTAAACTTAAGTAGTTGAGCTTGTCTCTGCTTGATTCTCTCATCATCAGTGCTCTGTGGCATGTTCTGCTCTCTTCATAATAGAGCATCTGATCCAGTATTCAACTTCCCTGACTGGTAATCAATTTTGAAGTTGAATTGATAGAGAATATTCATTCAATGTAGCTGTCTTTCATTTAGTCTGTGTGTAGTCATGAAGTATTCTAGATTCTTATGATCTGTGAGAATCTTGAATTCCTTTACACTTTGTAGCTCAGCATCTCATTTCTTTAAACACTCAATTATCACTAATAACTTCTTATCATGAATCTCATAGTTGCATTCTGCAGGTGAATGCTTGCAAGAGAAGAAGGCACATGAGCATAGAATGCTCTGCTCATCATATTGTAGCAGCACTCCTTCTGAGATGTAATCTGAGAAGTTTATTTTCAATATAGTTTCACAGTCAGGATCAAATTGAAGCAGAATTGAAGCAGAGATAAACATTGATTTTAGACACTTAAAAGCTTCCTCAGCCTTGCTCATTCACAAAAAAGGAATATTCTTGTGTGTAAGAATTGTCAGTGGGATTGCAATCTTTGAGAAATTCCTGATAAATCATCTATAGAAATTGGCAAAGTCTAAAAATCCTCATACACCTTTAAGAGTAGTAGGTGTCACTCATTCCAAAACAGCTTTAACCTTCTCTGAATTTATTTGTATACCCTTGCTCACTTCAATGATGAATTCAAGATATTTTATGCTATTCATCTTGAACTCACTCTTTCTGATGTCTGCCTGCAGGCCTGCTTTCTGTAGATGCATAAGCATCTTTTGTACATGCTCACAATGCTTCTGTAAGTTTCTTGAGGAAAATATCAAGATGTCATCTAAATAGACTGAGCAGAAGTTGTCCAGATATTCATATAATGCCCAGTTGATATATTTTTGAAATGTGCTCAGAGCATTGGCCAAATCAAAGAGTGTAATCAGCTACTCAAATAGCCTGTATCTGGTTCTAAAGGCTGTTATCCACTCATCACCTTTTGTGATTCAAATCTTGTGAAAAGCTGCAATAATGTTCAGCTTAGTGAATCATTTAGTCTGTTCAATTTGCTGTAGAGTTTCACTGATTAATGATAGAGAATATCAATCCTTTCAGATGATTTTGTTAAGAGCTTGATAGTTCACACAGAATCTTAGCTCACTCCCAGGCTTCTTTGCAAATAGTACAGGAGCAGTCACAGAGAAGTTGCTCACTATAATAAAACTCTTATCTAGATAATCTGTAAGAGTCTTTCACAAAGTCAGTAGTTTCTCTCAAAACATATTATATAATAAGCTCCAAGGGGGTTGTTCCATACTATCATCAGTTTTTTTAATCAGTTCAATCTCATGATCTCTATCTGGGCAACAAAGTGGGGGTAGAGCGTCAGCAGCTTCCTTATCAAATATGTTCAAAAACTCATGATAATGTTTAGGTAGCTTTTCTCTAGAGTCAATCTTTGATTTCACTTCTAGAGTCTTTTAAATATTGGTCAAACTGACAGTGAAGATCTCAATATTTCACTTCTCTCAAGTGCTCATAAGCCTAGAGAAGCTTATGGCAGAGATGGGAATCACATCAGCTTTTGCATTTGAACTAGGCTCTATCTCTATGCCACTCTCTTTAAATCTCACAATTCTTTGATTAGGGATCACAGTCACCTTTTGCTGGGCCAGCCAGGGGTCATTTAGATACATATCATAATCATATAACTCATTCACCATATAGAGAAAGGCTCATTCAGTTATATGATCATTTATATCAATTTGAATGCCAGTCACTATGCTTGTGGAGAGTTCCATGAAGTCTTCAAAGCTAGTCATTTTAACAGGGGGAATTTCAATACACAGGAGCTTATGCTTGTTAACATAGAATTGAAAAATAAGATCATAGACATTACATTCACTGTCTATCATTGCTCTAGTTGAAAAGATATTATCTACTAAAGCATCAACAGTGAAGAGTTTGAATATCATCTTAGATTTAAATCTTCTTTATTACTTTCTCATAAGCTTCTTATTTTGCTTCTTTCAGTGTCTTTTAGTTGGAACTACTCTTTTCTCAAATTCTCACTCATATTCACATCATTGTCATCCAGTACCAGCTTGGAGATCATCTTAGCTATCATGAGAGTGACAGGGTATCTGAGAGGTTTGAACAGACAGCTCTTAATTATATGACCTTCAGCTCTGCATCTCAGGCACAGGCCTTGCTCTCTTCATTGATTAACCTCTGTCTGATTTATCAATTTGATGTAGTGGGCACTTGAGGTCACAGCATCAGAAGAGAGATCCATCAGATCATCAGTAGAAGCTTGAGACTGATTTTATTGATCAAGAATAGCATGACAAAGTAAAGAGTGTGAATTAGATGTCATATGATCTGAAGAAGATCTGCCCTCATGATGTTTAGACCACTGTCTTAAAGTCTTAAGCTCAGAGAGTTGATGATTAACTAATCTAAGCTCTCTGCAGTAATTCTTGTAGAGAGATAGTTCTCTTACATTCACCATGCCTTCTCTCAGCTCTATGCTTAGAGCAGATTTCAAATACCTCTTTTTAATGTGATCATTTCATCTATGATCACCAGCTTCCAGCAGTAGTTGATTAAATTTGAGCAGAAAGTCAAAGAGAGCTCTTCTACTCTGTTATAGATTGTTGAGCTTTTGCATAGTCTTTTTCTGTCATGCAGAATCACTAAAGAGCATGTGTGTCTGCTTCAGTAAGCTCTCTATCATGAAGTTGATCTTGTCCTTATTATTCTCAACTCAGAGGTAAACTTGAGCTGCTGTTATTTCTTTCAGTCTTGAGTACACATATTAAGTACATTCCTCATTATTATCTAAAGCTTTCCTATTGATCTTAAGTTTTGATTGAAGCTTTAGCTCTCACTGAGAGTAGTGCTTCAGATTAGAATCATCATACTTCTTGCAGTCTGATAGCTTGATCTTTGATCTTCTGACTGCAATGAGTGGTTGCAGGTTCAATTGAGAGAGGGTTGATGTTGAGATGTTCAAAGCTTGTCATAGATTAGCTATTTCAGCTTGCTGAGCTGCTATTAAATCTCTGTTCTCATGCTGGACCTGTTTCTGCTGTTGAAGAAAGGTCATTCATTGTTGTTCAAAGCTGCTGAGAGTGTCCCTGCTCATTGCTTTGTGTTGATTCATTTGTTGTACAAGTCTGTCACTTTATCTCATTCAGCTAAACATTTTCAATGTTGCTTGTTCATTTGTTAGCATGATTGCTAACTCAGTCTATTCATATACCAGTGCTATCACTGAACTTCATGATGCAGGATTTAAGACTTTCAATAGCCTATCATATGTCAGCATGTTTGCTGAGCTTCATGATACAGAATTAAGGCTCCCAGTGACCTATCAATGAAAGGAGTGAAGCAATTTGTAATGTAAAGAGTTAAGCTCTAAGAACTAGAGGCTAGTCCTCCTATATAACAAGGATGAATTGCTTGAGAAAGGGAAGAAAAGAATGAGATGATAACTCAAGCTTAAGCAAGCTCGCGTAGCATGGTCACGTGCGCAAATGTGAATGATGGCTAGGCTGAGTCAGCCAGCCAGAGCAAATCTAGGAGTTCAACCCCTTATAAGAGAAGGGCTTTATCTCACCAGAGACCTTCTTCTTCATATCTTCAATTCTTATAGCTTTTATATAGTAAGCAAGCTGAAGTTTTATATAGATTATCACCAGTTTAATACAATCTCAAAGAAGAATCAATATCTGATTCTACTAGTTAAAGAGCTTATAGAGTAATTAAATAAAGCAAATTCTTTACTAAATTAGATATTCATTAGAGCTTTTATTGAATATATATATACTTTAAGACTGATGATTTAATAACCTTTAGAACATATTATAAAATTTATAAATACAAGGTTATGCTCTTCAGTCTAAATAATAGCTTAGCAATCTTTTAGCTCTTTGTAAATATTATCTTTTTTGACTACTTAGACTAGTTCATGACTACTTTTATAAATGACTTACTGATCTATAGGTAAAATCTTAAGAGAATATAAGAAGTATGTCAAGAAGATGTTGATTAAATTTCAAAAGACTAAACTACAGATAAGCATCTTAAAATATGAGTTTCATATTCAATAGATAAAATACTTGAGTTTTATTGTCATTTATCAGGGGATCAAAGTGAACTCAGAAAAGATTGTAGTGATATTATAATAAATAATATCTAGAACAGTCAAAAAAGTTTAATTCTTCTTGAGATTCTACAACTTCTATCAGTATTTAATTAAGAGATACAGCTGGATTGTGAAGTTACTATTTAAGCTCATATGAAAAAATCAGTTTTTGAGTAAAATGAGATCTGCCAGTGTGTCTTTGATCAAATGAAGAGAGCTTTATCTGAAGTCTTAGTGCTCTATCATTATAATTCAAATTAAAAGATGTAAATAAAAATAAATATGTTAGATGATGCTATAGCTGGTGTTTTATCTCAGTTGTGTGAGAATAAATAGTAGTATTCTATTATCTTTTACTTAGCTTCTATGAGTGAAGCAGAGAGAAACTATAAAATTTATGATAAGAAGATGCTAGCAATTGTGAGATTATTGACAGAATAATAAGCTGAGCTAAAAAATCTTTAAAGATCAGAAAAATTCAAGATTCTGACTAATTATTAGACTTTTGAGTACTTTATGATAATTAAGAATCTTAACATCTGGCAAGTACAATAAGTAGAGTTTCTCTTCTGATTCTACTTTCTAATTTAATATCAGTCTAAATGTTTGAATACATTAACAGATGTGCTGAGTCAGCTAGATGTTCAAAAAGATAGTAAGAATACTTGAATATAACTATTTCTTAAATCAGAGAGATTAGACTTAAAGATCATCAAAAAATTTATTAACATCAAGACTATAGATACAAGTATATATATTTTTAATAAAGTTAAAATAAGGAACAGAGAGGTAGAATTACTAAGACCAGAATGTAAGAAAGTACAATAAAGAGAATAATACTAAGAGCTGATAAATGAACTTTTATATTTTAAAGAATACTTAGTAATATTAATTAAAAAAGATTTTACTCTTTGAGTATATCTTCTACAGAAGATTCATGAGCAGTCATTAATAGTACATTCTGAAAAGAGAAAGCTACACTTGCTAGTAAAGGCAAAATACTACTAAAATAACTAAATTAAAAATATTGATCAGTATGTGAACAATTGTCTAATGTGTTAATAAATGAAGATCTTTCATGATAAAACTTTAGAACTACTAAAGTTACTATCAATTCTTAGTAGAGTCTAGTAGCACATCTCAATGAACTTCATGAATAATTCTATAATGAAAAGAGATCATAATATGATATTGATAATTGTCTGTCAACTAAATAAGAAATCTATATCTATTTCTATTACAAAAAAAACAGATGTCAAAGAACTGACAAGACTGTTCTTGAAATACTACTATAAGTATTATAAAGTATTAGATTTAATTGTGTCAAACTATGAATCACAATTCATCTCAGATTTCTGAAGTGAGTTCATTAGATGATTGAAAGTTAAACTGAAGCTATTATCAACTCATTATATGTAAATAAATAGTTAGACTGAGATTATTAATTAATATCTGATGACTGAGCTTTATTCATATATAAACTACTATCAGGATAACTGAAATGAGTGATTATCAATGATGAATTATACAGTTATAGTTTTGATAAATGAATCAACTGAGATGACATTCTTTCAAACTGCTTATAAATATGAATCTTGAATGTTTTTTGATTGAAAGTCACTATTAAAGACACTATTTAGAGGAAAGAAGTTTAAATGAGAAAAGATTAAATAGTATATCATTCAAATGAAAAAAATCTGAAATCTAGCAGCAAATAATATGAAAAAAATACAAGAAATTATAAAATTACAGATCAACAAGTACTGTCAGAAGTCAAACTTTAAAGTAAAAAATAAGATCTTCTTGTTACTTAAGAATTATAGAATTCAATATCTCAGTAAAAAGCTCATAGAGTAAAATAAAATTTTTTTTTAAATTATTAAAAAGATTAATAATAGCTATAAACTAAATTTATCAAATAGCATGAAAATTCACTCAATAATCTTTTTTGATATATTATAAAAAGCTATAAATAATCTTTTATCAAAATAATTAAATAAAATATCAGAATTAATTAAGATATAAAGTGAAAATAAGTGAGAAGTTGAAAATATTCTAGCAAGTTAAGTTTCTCATAAAAAGCTTCAATATCAGATAAAATAACTAGAATTTGATGATGATTTAACATGATATTCAGCATAAAATCTAAAAAAAATTTCACATCTGATTTGAGAGTTTTATTCTGCAAATTCAACAAAAATAGAATCTTCAAAGTGATTGAGTAAATGACTGATGACTTGAAAAAAAAAAAAAATTTATTTAACAGATGAAATAAATAATAATCTACCAGTATGAGAGCATATCTAGACTTCAAGAAGAGGTAATGTGATGGTGTAGAATGAGCTCCATAGCCTTCTCAACAGCATAATGCTGAGATGAATGGTAATTGCAACTGCTGAGATGAATGATAATCACAAACTGTCTAGGCATTGTCATAGTAATCAGCCTCACAATTGCCTCACAAATAACATGTAAATGTGGCAATCACATGGCAACTGCGCTAAGGAAAGCGCTAAGGAAAGGGCTATATAAACAGAGCCTTCCCTGAACCCATCTTTTAGGAACCATCTTAGTATTTGCTCAGATAGCTTACCTAGTTGGCAATCGAACACCTGTTTCACCTGCGCCTAGATTGAAGCTGTGACACAGATTGACAGCTTCAAAACATGTTAAATTTCATACACATCTATCAGATCAATGAGAAATCACAAATCAGTGAATTTAGATGACTAATTATCATTCATACAAAATTATATGAGATCTTACTGATTGATTACTGAATGGTGCCAGTGCAAAATTCCATACACTAATTGAAATCACACTAATTGAGCAAGAACTTACGGACGAGGGAATACCTGTACTTGGCAATAGGGGGTGTCTGACGCTTCCGTCATGTGACCTGCTTTTCTCGTTCTCATAGCGTCCAATCTCTGCAATCGATCAAGCTTGCCCACTCTGTCATAAATAGGTTTGGCAGAATGTATGTAGTCAGGCAGGTTTGGATCTTATAATGGTCAAACCCCACCTTTTATCACCCGTACGCCCGAACTTGGCGCATGATTAGGCCGTGGTTAGCAACGAAAGCCTGCCAATCAGACGTCCTTGATCTGAAAGCTCTGCTTGAGCGATTCCTTCGGCCAGAGGATGTAAAACAGGGCTTATTTAGGGTTTCATTTAGAGCAGTGCGCTTGAGCTGTTGGACTACAGATTGTAATTAGTGTAAGAGTGTAGCAAGTCTGCCGAGAGCTTTTTTGGTGGGGCCAAAGAGCCGTCGATGGTTCACGTGACTGAGCTAGGCCGCATCTTGGGAGGAGCCTTGGCGTTGACCCACCTTCCGTAAGCAAAGCAGTAATTTCGCGAGGGTATATTTATTTCGAGTCGCGATTGGGTTGCTGGGAAGTCCCCTCTATTACTCTCGACTTTTAAGCATAATTAGGTGGATTTACTCGAATACTAGCATGCAAATGCCCTGTTCCATAATTACGCCTTTTTTGTTTTTTGCTTTTTTCGACTTGTGAACTTCCCCACTCGTGAGTCGCACGCCGATACTCCCGTCCCGCCTCTTCCGTACCTCATAATATACCAAATATGCCAGAGCCGACAGTGGTGACGGCGACCTCGGCTCTACCCTCTCGTCTCTATGAACTAGGATATGAGGAAGTTGAAGAGGAAGAAGAATCAGGGAACAATGAACTTAGCCTCAAGAGCACCCTGCTTCGTAAAGCGAGGCGTTCACACAGCCGCGTGCCGGGCTTGCGGAAGATCCCACTGCCGGCTCTGGCAATTATATTGTTGATTGCTGGGGTTAACGCATTGGTATGGGTAGCGGTCGGTATCGTATTGGTATGTTTTATTGGCCCTTTCTCGGGAAAGAATTGGAATACAGAAGTTTTTAAGTGGAGTTGGAATGCAAAGAAGTTTGGTTAACGGGTTCTTCCTTGGGGGAGAATGATACAGAGGTTCAATTCGTAAGTGATTTATGTTTTCTATGTTGAAGTACGAATATGATTTGAAATAAAAGGGCTTTTCGGGATTTGTATAAGAAATTTTTGGGGGGTTGAGGGCAGTTCAAATAAATATTAAAGTTGAAAAAGCTTCGCAATCGATACAAATGCTAATACAATGGCCGATGTAATAGATCTCTGGTTTCTACATCTGTTCTGTCATACACCCTTGGTCTGAGGCATGCACTCGATGCGGATCATATCTCGGTATGTTAAATTATTGAGCAATGAAGTACCTAACCCAGCATAGCTATATATATTCAATTCTCCGCCCTTTAACAAATCTACAGGCCATCGACCTCATGACTCGACGTCTTCTGGCAACGGGACAAAGACCAGTCACTGTCGGGACGTATTTCTCCCTAGGGCATTCATCGTAAGTCCAATTACCTTTCTCTCACCTTGAGCAATCATTCGATTTTCTATATTTTGTATATTGCAATTTTAACCTCCCCTATATGCAGCGTTGTAATAATCACATCCATTGTTGTTGCGGGAACCGCTGCGGCTGTCTCTTCCAAATTCGACAAGTATAGCAAAGTCGGCAGCGTCATCGGTAGTTCAGTCAGTTCTGCCTTCTTGATACTGCTCGGTATCATGAATGCGTATATTTTGTATAAGCTCGTGCAGCAGATGAAGAAAGTACTAAATTTGACACAAGGCGAGGAGGATGAGATGTGGAAGATTGAGGGAGGCGGCGTTTTGTTCAGGGTGTTGAAGCAGATGTTTAAGATTATTGATCGGTGGGTTTTGAACGTCTCCTTGCTGATAATTCGTCTAAGGACGGCGTTTCTGAGTGCTTTTCTGGAAGTGATTTTTGTTCTTTCTCCCCTTCTTCAATGTTATACGTAAACTGATTTATAATTAACAGACCATGGAAGATGTACCCTCTGGGAGTGCTCTTCGGCCTGGGCTTCGATACCTCATCTGAAATTGCGCTCTTAGGAATCGCTTCTATTCAAGGCGCTCGCGGGACGAGTATATGGCTGATTCTCATCTTCCCAATTCTTTTCACTGGCAAGTTCACTTTTTCTGATAGTCATTTACCAACAACTTGATGGAAGGCGCGCGCTGAAACATACTGCCCGATACAGCCGGAATGTGCCTCATAGACACCATGGACGGCGCATTAATGCTATCCCTGTACATCCAACCAGCGAAAAACTTTCTCCAACCAAAACTCTCGCTCCCTTCTTCTCAGTTACAGCAATTAGAGAACACCACGACCACGACGACGACGACGACGGAGTGGACAGGAACTCGGCCAACCCGTAACCCACGCAACCCAATTGCTTTCCTCTACTACTCCATTGTTTTAACCTGCCTCACCGTGATCGTGGCCCTAGTGATCGGCATTCTTCAATTGCTCACCCTAATCCTCAACAGCACAGAGGTAAAAGGGAGATTCTGGGATGGCGTGGAGACTGCGGGTGAGTATTATGATATCATTGGCGGATCGATATGTGCATGCTTTGTTTTGTTCGGCGGATTAAGTGTAGTGGTGTACCCGTATTGGAGGAGGTGGATTGCGCAGCGGAGAGTGGAAGAGGAGGGAAGAGGAGATGGGGTAGATAGACTGTTGGAACAAGGGAGAGGCGATGATGGTAGATCTGAGATAGGATACGATGGTTCTGCAGCTAATTGTGCGTGCCGGGAAGGGCGGCTGAAGGGGTGTGGAAGGGATGATAGTAAAGGGGTAAGGGTATCAGTGGAAGCAGAGCACTTGGGATGAATTTTCATTCAGGATTGAGAGATGAGGTTGACAGAAAGATAACATGGAAAGGTATTAAATACATGTGTATTAACATATATCACAGAAATTTGTAGATGTCTTTTCTTAGAGAAGGTTTGTACATTTTTAATGTTAAGACTGCAAAATGTTAACTCTTTCAAGGTACTTTACTGTCTGCCTGGTGCTGAAACTGCCCTTCTGGAATGTAGTGTTTTTGCATTCAATTTAGTGGCATATCGTCTGTCTTCTGTGACTTCAAGCTTAGTGAGCTGCTTGTAGTGAACTATCCTGAACATATTACTCAAAACACCACAATAGCTGTGGTTGGTGGGAACAGCGGAATCAACCCCTCACACCTCTTTTCCCCTGGCGCGTTTGAGGACACAACAATACTGTAATGCATGAATGGAAGGGTATGATTGGAGATAGGCGTATTGTTAAGAGAAAGAAAATATGAACATTTGAGCATTTAATTGTCACAGTTAATCCTGGTGGTTTTGTAATGTTTCAATCAACAGCGAGCTGACAAGTCAAGACTATCCCAATATGTAGAATCTCCAACAATGAACAGAGATCTGAGGCACTGACGTCATTAGTTAAACCCAAAATAATGTGCTTATGTCATCATCCTGTTTTGTGTCAATTTGTTGGAGCCTAGGCTTTCTATTATGGACTAGCACACTGCATAGTAGTATATAACATCCCTGAGATAGGCTATCAATACAACCACTTCAGACATTCAACAGGTTATGGCCTGGATAGCTTATTCTTTTTTTAAAGAGTCTTTCACACACTACTTTTCCTTCTTCTTTTATCTGAGATATAAAATGTTTCATGTAAACTGCATCACTGAATTACAGCAAGAATTTAAGAAAAAGTAAATGTTTTGAAAACTTTATATTATAGCTCAACTAGAGTTAGAATAATAACAAGACAACAGCTTCAATTCATTTATCTAACTAGGCAGCTGTGATGAGAATACTAAACTGAGAATTAGAATGAAAAATAAATAAGCAGCTGAATATATAGAACTGATTAAGAAACAGATCAGATCAATCTTTGAAGCAGATATAATTGAAGATCAGATTGAATCAACATAAGCAATTGAATATGATTGAGGTTAGAATGAATTAACCTTTAGAGTGTAGTGAGACAGATCAATCTTAATTCATATATAAGCAGCTGCGCCGTAACGCTTTGATCATAGAAAAAAAATTAAATTAAAAGAAGATAACAGATGTTTTCAAGAATACAAACTACAGAGTCATTGAATATCTCTGCAAGCAATAACATGAATAGAGATGAATACAGTACATCTACCCCTGAACCTAGAGGAGAAACTGGTTAAAAAGATGAAGTAAATATAAATAAAAGCAATATAAATATGATGTGAATGATAATAAAATATATATAAAGATAGAATAAATAGATAGAAATACTCATACAAAAACTAAAGAGAAACTCAGATTCTTTGTCAAATACTACTAAGAATTTTATTAAAAATAAAGTTAATAAATTTCACAAAGATGTAAAGATTAAGTTGAAAGAAAAATATATAGTCATTCTCAATAAAACTAATTATATGAAATAAAAGAGCTCTATTCTTGCAGATATTTATTTGATTCAAGTAAAAGATAGTCTCAACAAATAACAAACAGTATTTTTTTTCACAGTTTCTCTAAAAATTGAGTTTTAAAATAAGAAAAATGAAATTTTTAGATAAAGATTTTTCAATTTTTAAATATAACTATACATGATTTTTTAAAATCATTAAGTGAAGATTTCTATCTCACAGCAACTATATAAAAGAATCTTACTCAACATTACACTATATCTTATACAGAAAAATATCTTCAAATCACTAAGAAATTAAGAGATTTATAGCTTAAAATTAATAATTTTCATATTTATCTTGTA